ACATAATTGTCCCAAACTTTTTTTCCCAAACACTCCCCTCATCTGTCATTGGCCAAACAAAAAGACAGCCCCGCCCCCAAACTCACACCATTGGCTGAGTCAGTGTTGCTATGCTGGGTTGGTCCAGATGCTCAAACAAACAAAGAAATGTTTTGATAGCGGCACAGAGTCACAGTGTTTACGGAGTTATAGTTGTCTCTGTACATTAAGCTGGGAAAATGTTTTTATTTTACTTTTAATGTGCAGATGAGTTCAGGAGATGATGCTAAATCCTCAATGTCCTACCTGAGTGCAGAAAGTATCTGCGTGCACCAACGCTTCCATGCCTGAGACATACAGATAGTACCAGTGTGTTATGATTTTGTCATATTTCTGCCAGAAGGTGGCATTGTCCTCTAACTTTTCTGCATGTAGGGTTTTCAGTTTCTATGATTGATGAAACATCGCTTCCGAAGACGAACGAAGCTTTTAGGGGTTTGGAACGACATGGGTAAGTGATTAATTTTTGGAGTTTTTTTTTTTTTGCCTTTTATTGATTGATGAAACATCGCACCTTCACATTCATAGTTTTGTGGTTTTTCTTGGTCTTCTTCAAAAACTGCTTGAGACTTCCAGATGACATATATTCAGTGATAAAAATCACCTGTGTGGCACGAAATGAAAGAAAACGTGAATGTCTGAATTTAGGGTAAAGTTCACAGAGGCGTTCATTTCTATCAGGTGTGCCTTGCGTCTCACCCTCGCTCTGCTCTCGCTCATGTCCAACCAGTACTTGTGAAACTTCACAATGTTCGGATGCTCCACCTGCATCAGGTTCTCAAACATCTCCTTTATCCGCTCCTGCATAACACAAAGTACATCAACTCTTGGTTTCACATTTCAAGCATTGTTTCTGTCACCATACCAGCATGATTGATGACACTCCAATACAGTAACATTTCACAGATATTTGTGGTGCAGCATACTAAGTATCCCACCCATAATACTTTGTAATAATAAAGAAGATTGCTAGTATCTTGGCATGTAATCCTTTTTTTTTGGATATACAGCAAAATTAAAGCATTTCTACTCGTGAGGACTCAGCAAGGGATGAACTTACACTGGTTATTGATAAAGCAGTGCGCAGCAAGCAGTTTTAAGGAGTGGACCTCAAATAACACTCTGTGGAACAGCAGGTCATGAGCTGTAGGTCTCGTCTTGGCTTCTGTGAGCACACACGACTGGATAAATTCCTGTCAGTGTAAGTGATGAAGGCATTACAGTAAACACAAAAAAATCAACAGAGCTGTATTAGTTACAAACATACACTTAAAGTCTTTTACCCTCATGAGAGGGTCCTCAAGTGATTGTCCAGCATGATCAATGGCCTCTTTCGAAACTGCAGTGTCTCCATTGGCCTGGATTTCCAGTACTGCCATCTAAAAGTGAGTGGGGAAAACAAAATTAAAAGTCATACATAATGTTGTTCTTTTGTACTTACTATAATCTGCTATTTATTTGATAGTTTAGTTAGATTGTTAAAGTAATACTCAGACCTCCAAGGCACAGATGCCAAATGAAAATATATCAATGGCGTAGTCATCTTCAGCAACTTGAAAAAAAGAAAATAAAGAAATGTCATGAAAGTTAATATTTCTATTTTGCATTTTTCTAATGTATTACAAATTATAAGCAAAACAATTTTTCTTTGCTGAAAAAAAATCCTACAGCTTTCTTTTTATGCCCAGGTTTAAATTAAAAATATTCCAGATATTTTCTAGATTTCAGATTTTTTTCCAGATTGAGAAAGATGATAATATGGTAAAGACATCGGATACTCACTGCCATACTCCGGAGCAAAGAAATGCTGGTTCCGCATTTCATCTCGATGTTGATGCACATTACCATGAATCGCCTCAGCAAATACTAAGGGAAACACACAACATTCAAACTCTATATATAACATTATATATGAATGGGAAAATTATTGCCAGTAAACATACAAGATCTCCAGCACATGGGCTAGAGTCCAAAATAAATACTCTGAACGGGCAATTATTTATGTCTTAGATTGTGAAAGCTGACAAGAAATATTACAGTACATTACATAACTGCCACGATTTTGGGCCAATATATGCAAAGCATTGTTTAAGGAGGGAAGGAAAAGAAACCGTCTAAGTACGGTCTGTGTTTTCTTTCTGATCAGATAACCAAATTCCTGTGCACATGGCATAGAGAGCTCAGAATGGACTTACCGTTAACAAACAGCCTGTGCCAAACTGTAAAAGAAAGAAGACACATATAACTTTTCTAAAAACAGATATTCTATATTAAAAATAATCAAACATCAAATCTTTTTGAGTTAAACCTTAAATACAAGAATTAAAAGACTACTGTCAAACCTGAACCGATCTTTATGAGACCATTGTGCTGGATAAAGATGGTGTCACATGTCAGGTTACCGTGAATAATAGGTGGATCACATGAATGCAAGTAACTAAAAGACAAAAAAGATAAAACATCAGTACTTGTATTCACAAAAAAAAATCCTTCGAAACACACTGAAAGTTAAAAAAATCCATACACAAAAAAATTTGTATAAAAATAAATTTATAAGAGAAAGTTTAAACTATAGTAAAATAATATATATATATATATATAGCACGAAATGAAAGAAAACGTGAATGTCTGAATTTAGGGTAAAGTTCACAGAGGCGTTCATTTCTACCAGGTGTGTGTTGCTTCTCACCCTCGCTCTGCTCTCGCTCATGTCCAACCAGTACTTGTGAAACTTCACAATGTTCGGATGCTCCACCTGCATCAGGTTCTCAAACATCTCCCTTATCCGCTCCTGTATTAACACAAAGTACATCCACTCTTGGTTTCACATTTCAAGCGTCGTTTCTGTCACCGTACCACCATTCCAGCATGATGACATGATGCCAATACTGTAACATTTCACAGATGTTTGTGGTGCAGCATACTAAGTATCCCACCCATAATATCGATGTTGGAAAACAAGCATGGTCCTACCTCAAAGGACTTGAAAACCTTCTTGTCTGAAAACTGCACTTCGTTCCACACCACCTCCACCCCCTCTTCAGTGTCCATGGCCAAGTACGCACTCTCAATGCCTGGGACATTTCCCTGACTGACCTAAACCAGAAAAAAAAGGACATCGAGAAAGAGGAAAGGGTGAAAGTGTGTTTAGCACTCCAGACTCTGCCAAGTTCAAACAAAGTACCATTTAGCCAGTGATATCTGCAATATTTACTTCTCGTTGCACAACTTTTTACAGTGTTTGCAAATGTGATATTTTAGTATCAACTTCTTGGTACTGTTAGTACAGGAAATTAGTATTTCTGTGAAGAAGAAGGACACACCCCCTTTCCGCCCCCTTGCTCCACAACTCTCCCATGGTGCACGTTGTGGTTTGGGCTATGTGGAGCAAGCATGACAACACTGACTTTGAATGGCCTGTAAATTCTTGTCTGTTTTTTATCTTTGGAATGCTGTAAATTAAGCTAAAAGTACAGAAACTGCTGTTTGCTCTCCAAACACTTCAAGTCTCCACTTTTTTTTGGACAAAACCAGTCCTTTATTATCACAACTGTCTAAAAGAAAACAAACCACCCAGCATTTTCATATTTTGATTTTCTATATTTATAGGCTGAATTTGCTCCCCTCCCGCTGATCGGTGAACTCAACTATGTGTTTTGGTGACAGACACAACATGATCCAGTCACGCTGAGATGCAGCTGCCCTCTAAAAGGCCTTGGATTCAGTTGTATCTCAGATTTAAAAACATATGACTACAAACTAATAATACTGTTTGCTATGCTTCAACAAAGAGCTTCTTAATTGGTCATGACGTTCAGGCACAGTAAAATATGAGTAGAACAAGTTGTCGATGTTGGAAAATCATTATAAAGTTTACTAGGCTAAATTGTATCAAGTCAAGTAGCAGTTCAAACACAAATGATGTGCATGATTGATGATAATATGCCAAAGTCTAATTCTATGAAGGTTTATCCTAAAAATGAACAGTTTATTTTGGTATTTTAAACACACTCACTGTCAATCGCCATTGTGTACCAGGCTCAGAGGTTGAATAGTGGCCATTAAAAGGACAAAAAAACAACGAGTTTTATGACACTTTTACTAATACTGGTCAAGCAAAGCAAAGCTTGGTTACGTAAGACGGAGAACACAAGGACACTAAAAGCATGTCCAATTACATTTGGAGTTAATTAATTCCCTAGATGCCGCACAAACAGACAAGGAATGTCTTTGAAAACAAATAAAAAAAACTTTCCATTTCCTCAGAGCCAGAGAGTGCCCTTCTACCCAGCTGGTGTCTCCAAATTATGTGTAATCACAGGCGGTTGAGCCTGGCTAGTACTGTACCTCAAAGCACTAGTGATGCACATATAGGATGCAAAGATTTATTAAATTAAGATCTAGCGCATTTAAAAATCAATGTCTTGTGTATAAAAAAGCCCACAGATATGTAATGCGTCAAACTAACCACAAATGAAGTAAGAAGCTGTCAAAATAATGTAGTTGTGGTGTTCATTTCAGTTTCGGGGGCCAGTTGTATATAAGGTTTAGACTAGTCTTACAAGTTAGTCATCAATTTTTTTCTTTAAAACTGGTCATCATTTTTTAAACTCAGTTACATAAAAGCATACATTAGTCTAACTTGAATCCCAAAATAAGACTGATTACCCCTTGGCTATAACAGCTAGTTGGTCAAACTCATACTTAAGACATTGTCTTAACATAGAAGCTAAGTTTATGCAACTGCCCCCTGGTCTCTCTTGTGTGAGTGTTTATAAAGAATGTTTTGAGAATAAGTTGTTAGAAACTCTAAATACCAAATAACAGGGAACACTGTGCCCATAAAACCAGCTGATATCATCTCACGTTCAGGGCTTCGAAATCCTTTCTGACATGAACTCATATAACAGCTTTCCCAATGAAAACAAACATTACGATCTTCATTTCCTGCCCTTTCATCCCCTATCCTGCGTCTGTCACAGATACGGTTCCAGCTGTATTACCTCTTCCTGCATAATGTATGAACTCTAATAAGTTGTTCTTCTGTGGAACTACTTTCATCTATGGAAACCTAACCGTGCATGCTCAGTTGTCCCTTATATATCCTGTCAAACATCTCTGAGGATTAACAGAGAAAATGTGAATGGAGTTGCATGCATACCTGGACGAATTAGCACTTTATATGCAGGCACAGCTTTCCAGCTATACAATTATCATCATGAAGAATTCAGCATGCTAACCCCAGATGCTACTGGCCCCACATACACAACTAAATGTCTTGTCTGGGTACAAATGCTAAACCTCTCTCTATGGGGCGGCTGCTTTTGTGATGGAGAAAGGTGACCTGACACCACAGTTTTAACTGACATACAGGAGACACTCATGTCTGCACTTTGCTGTAATGTTGGAACAAAATCGGTTGTGTAACACATAGAGACTAGAGCCCGACCGATATATCGTTTTGCCGATATTATCGGCCGATATGAGCCTGTCGCCGATATATCGGTATCGGCGAATATGCCGCCGATATGAATTTTTTTTTTACAGAACATATAATGCAGATAAAATGCTTGAAATTGTGTAATTACTTAGTTTGTCCAGCAGAGCGCGCTCCATTGTTTGCTACTGGCGACCTGGATGAAACCCTTTAAAGCTTAAGTCTATGGAAAACCATTGAAACTTGGAATGGCCATATCTCCGTAACGGCGCGGCGAATCCGCACCAAATTCGGGGGATCTCTATGGTCGAATAAGACCACGCTTGAATGCTGCTGCCTGAACAAGAGACCTCCTTACTGAAGTGAAAGTGTTGACTGGTGTCACTATCTCGCGAACGCGCCGGCAGATCTCCACAAAATTCGGGGGATCCCTTCAGCTCGAGGAGCCTCTCGAACGCCACCCTCCGCGTGTCGGTAGCCCCCCGGGATCGCTTGATCGTTCGGCGCCGGACCGCGAATTTAACCACCCGTAACTCCCGAACCCCAGGGGCTATCAACGCGGGGGTGGTCTCATTCGATAGCGGGCCTCTAGGCGTACACTCGATTCGCGTTCGAGAGGGTTCCTCGAGCTGAAGGGATCCCCC